CACCGAGGAGGTGTTGGTGGATGTGAAAACGACTTGTGAAGTGGTGGAGGGATCACAATGAGCATGCTCGGCTTGAATGACTCCAAAAAAGTCAAGACTGTGAGGTGGAAGATGTGAAGAATGAGTGGGAGTGATATGGGAGTGAGGAAACTTAGTTTCATCAAAGACCACATGACGAGAAATATATACTCGACCAGATGAGAGATCCATACAACGATAGCCTTTATGACTGGGGCTATAGCCTATAAAACAGTAGGAGGTTGATCGAAGTTCCAATTTGTTAGCCTAGTAAGGTCAGAGCCATAGGAAGCAAAGAGAACCAAATGTTCGTAAGTGTGAATAATCAGGAGGGGTGTGAAATAAAGCTTAATATGGAACAAGTGTGATGTTGAAGTATGTGCATGCGGTTAATCAAATAAATGACTGTGGTGAAGACTTCCAACCAAAATTTGGAAGGCATATGAGCATGGGCCATCATAGCTAAGCTAGTTTCGATGATGTGACGGTGTTTGCGCTCCATAACACCATTTTGTTCTGGTGTGTGGGGGCAAGAATATTCATGTGTAATGCCATATGATTGAAGAAAATTGTGGAAGGCATTACTTGTGAATTCGCCACCACCGTCTAAGTGAAATGTGGTGATGGTGTGACCTAAAAGATTTTCAACTTGCTTTTTAAAACTAACAAAGATATCATAAAAGTCAGATTTTAATCTCATAGGAAATAACCATGAATATTTGGAAAAATCATCGACAAAGAGAACATAATAGGAATAATTAGAACAAGATAATGTGGGAGCAGGGCTCCATACATCACAATGTAATAATTCTAGAAGACGACTAGAGGTAGAATAAGACTTGGAAAAAGGAAGCTTGTGACTCTTCGTCTGCTAATATGAAGAGCAAATGCGAGATCCCGATTTATTGGAAATAGAAGCGACTGAGAAAATCGCCCGTTGAATGTCATGAGAGGGATGGCCGAGACGAGCATGCCATTGGTCCGTGGTGATGGAGGAACTGTAATGAGCTTTTGGGGCGGTGGATGATGATGGAGTGTGAAATGGGTACAAGCCGTTCTCAACTGGCCCTTGATGTAGTATCCTCCCTATGGCCTTATCCTTAATACAAAAATCAGAGACATCGAAGTTAAAGAGACAATTGTTATCTTTGGAAAATCGATAAACAGAGAGTAAATTGTGTGAAGCCGTGGGACAATGAAATTTAGATTTAAGGTGAAGAGGTGATGAAGAGGATGAAAGGGTAGTGGAACCAACATGTGCAATAGGCATACCGTGGCCATTACCTATTTCAACAGTGTCATTACCATCATAAGCAGTTGAAATTTGGAGATTTTCGAGTTCCGGGGTGAGATGATGAGTGGCTCCGGTGTCGGTGTACCAAGTATTGGGTGGGGTCGAGGCAATGGCAGCCATTGCTGCAAGTTTTTCTGGTGGATGGCAGCCTTGACAGGTGTAGTCCATTGGGTGATAACAGTCGATGGCAGTATGACCCATACGATTGCAGATCTAACATTGTGAACGAACACCCAAATTTTGAGATTTTTGTTGACCTTGGGATGGTGGTTGTTGTTGCACCGATCCAGAGGAGGTGGAGGACTGCTGGCATGGAGGAAATGTTCCACGAGATGGCGCATGGCCGCAACCCTGAGAGAATTGACGAGAGTTGTTGGGCTTGAAAGGTTTGGAAGCCACCAATGCAGTAGACTGAGCTGAAACTACAGGCGGTGTATCTTCAGTCAAAGAGAGATCCTCACAGATTAACAGGGTATGAAGTTCTTCAATAGATAGGGACGATGTCTTGGCACGAATACGAACCGAGAAACAGAATTGTCGATATGATGGTGGCAGCCCATCGAGGATGTGAATAAGTAAATCATCCTCGCTTAGGGGAGAGCCACAGGCTACTGGCTAGTCAGAAATCACCTTAAATTGCTGGAGATAATCAGCCATAGATTGAGTGCCCTTATTGAGTCGAGTAAGCAACCGTTTGAGGGACATCACATGGGCAGGTGCTGTAGAGGCATATCTATTATTGAACAGATCCCATGCTTGCTTGGCAGAAGTAAGTCCGACGATATATGGAAGAGTAGAGTCGCTTAATATGGCATTGGTCTTTTTCAAACCAAGTTGGATATATGGGATCATCAGATGAAGGTGGAGAAATAGAGCCATCAACATGATGCATCAAGCGATAACCACGCAATATAGGCGTGAACAAGGATTTCCAAAGGAGATAATTAGAGGCATTCAGTTTGATTGGGACAAGACTAGAAATGTTTGAAATCACAATAGGTGGGGATTGAACTGGGGTACTGATAGCGCTATTAGCTTCAGAATTGTTGGAGGCAGCCATGAGGAAGAAGAAGTAGGATCCAAATAATGCTATTACGTAGAATGCTCTGATACCATAAATAAAGTAAAAGAAGCTTTGAATTTTTAGATTTTCCTTGTTCTTCTATTGATGTACATAATACGTTTAAATAAATACATAGTTACATGATGAGGGCAAAATTGATTCCTTAAATCAAGGAAAGTATCCTCAAATTGAGGAAAGAATTTTAAATTCAAATCGAGAAAATTATCCTAAAAGATTTTAGGATGATATGTTATCAAACTAGACATGAGGAATAATACACTCTTTGGCGATTTTCAAATAATTTACTCCCTCGTACAAGGAATTTCTCTAGCAATTATCACTATGCTCGCGTTAATTATATTCATCGGATAAATCATGAAGATATTACAGTGATGGGCTTTAAGTTTTGCAGTGATAAGGTCCACTCGAATGGTGGACCGACCATGTTCCTCGTTATTGGGGGAGAACATTTGCAAATACACTTCCGTCCGAAGTGCCACGTGACCGTATTTTTATGCCGAAGCTTCATTAATAAAGGTGATGTGCATATAGATACCTAGGCACATCAAAAGGGGAGCTTTAGACAGTATCACCTTCCGCAGAACTAGGTTAATATGCAACACCGTTTGTGTACACTCGAGCAATGTGGGGCTAAGTATCGAATTTTTACTCCCGCTTATTAAAGTTTGTTCATGCATTGATTGAAACTCACGAGTGTCTTGTTGTCCAATCGAATCGCTTCTATTGATGCAATGTCTTGTTATCCAATTGAGTCACTCTTTCTATTGGTGCAAGATTACTGTTGTAGCCTGAAATTGGATGGATCATTGTTATGGTGCCGGTTGAGGCTATGTACCATGTCAAGCATGGATAACAAGCAAAGGTAGGTATGACAATCCGGCTCATTTCAAGTGGTGCAAAAGAAGTAATCGGGTAATTACATAAGGTAGTAATCATTTGGATTATATCTTAGTAACAATCACCCAAAAAGGTCTTTCTTGTGTGATGTGCCATTTGGGATATCACAAACTCTTCCTAACTAAAGCAATGTTGTCCTCGTCAATGTCAACCAATATTGTCTCTCGATACTCCTATTTGATTAATTTAATCAACCAGTCCATGCTAGTGAGGGGTTGCACCTTGTTTGAACCTTCTTGCCTCGAGTGACCACTTTCCACCATTGTGGGATTGGCTTGTGCCTAGTTCATCTTGACCCGTGATATGCTTGAAGCTTTGACACAATCTATAACGATCACGGGTGATCGAAAAGTAAAAAGTTTGTATCGAAAAGTGACTATTCAAATACATAAAATTATATATTACCCTCCTCAAATTGATTTAGCGATTAAGCACTAACTAATGTTTATAAATTAAGCCTTTGATTTCCTACACCACTATTAGCAAACAATTCCATATTGAGGCCACCCATATGAGTTTTAGCTTGTGTCTTATTTAATTCACGATGTTGATGACACAATATATGAATGAGATTTACTTATCTAAAGTGGATTTCACTGTCGCTAGGGCATAAAGAGATTAGCATGCGTGATTACTTATCCATCTCAAATTGTCACCACCTTATATTGTTATTTTGAATTCTTCTTTGGGGAGCTTGGCTTACGTGGAATGTGCCAATTATTGGGTCAAGAATGAACTAGGCTTTGACCCACTTTCCCTTTATTCATATTTACAGATGATTGGGCCTGCCCAGCCCATGCTATCCTTGGGTGACTCTTCTCACTTAACTGGACGCAGATTTTTAGGGCTTGGTGGATTCGGGAGAGGCCCAGCAAGTTTGGCCCACGTGGGCCCTACCTGAGCCCATGAGGCCCGTTCAATAAGCAAGTCTCCAATATAAGTTACTAACTATAATTGATAAAAGTTACACTTTCGTGTGAAAAATTGCTAATTACGTGAAAAGGTTATTTGTTACAAACATATCAAAATTCATCGTTTATGAAAATTTACTAAATGACGTGCGGGGATTATGAATTTTAGATTCATTTTCGAATTTTTGAAACCTTTCTATATCCACGAATATCAGCACGTGAATTTTATTATAATTTTTTTTTTATGATTTTCAAAACTTAAACAATGCATTTCATTTTAAAAACTCACTATTACGCTTCACCACTCCTGTAACTATAATAATGACATTGTTACTCTAATGGGGAAACAATGAGAAAGACGTGGACATTTGTGAGGGTACCTTCGTCCTGTTAATGGCATCTTCATACGAAAGACAAGTTCCAAATAAAGCTCATAGACCAAATTTAATAGATCACTTCAAATTCAGTCCAGTTCGGGCCGATTTTTTTTTTTTTATCAAAGCTGGACATGAGCATTTGGATTATAGATAGGTTCGAGACATAATTTGCAATAAAGCTGGAACATCTTCATATCAGGTCGAGGCATTACGGAGTTACCTCTTTTGTAGTATTCGGCATGATTACGGATTAATAACTTACTAATTTCGCACGGTTTTCCATCAAAACCAAAAACGAGAAGTTAAAAGAATTTCAAAATCGGAAAAGCGAAAAAATAAAATAAAAATGGTCTAAACTTTCAAAGAATTTGCGGTTTTTATCTAGGCACATCAGTTCGGATATTAAAAGCGTTTTACACGCTTCTCTGTTTTTACTTTTTCGCCGCGAAAACTCCTTTGCGTCTTTCTTCCTCCGCCGCGACCGCCTTCGCCGCCGGTGGGAGGCGAAGGAAGCGGCCACTATTTAATCGGTCCCTGTCCGGATCCGACCACCGCGAAACCCTAAATTGTCTTCGCAGGAAGAGAGAGAGAGGACCGAGTGCTTGCTTGAGGCGCTTCCCTTCGGCCCCCGAGCTTGATTTCCCCGATGAGAAGGTAGGGATGGGTCGACCCGAGCCGTGCGTGCTGTTCGCCCAGACGTTCGCCCACCCCCATCTCGACGAGTACGTCGACGAGGTGAGTTCGTGCGCTTCGCGTCGGAGCTCCGTCCTCCCGCGGCGCGAGCAACTGAATTCGAACTGTCGGTCGAATTGTTTCAGTGGAGCTAAGCTGAGTTCTGCGTTGCTCGCGGCGTGACGCTGTCCGTTCTTTGAATTCGCAGGTAGTCTTTGCTGAGCCCGTCGTTGTCGCTGCTTGCGAGTTCCTGGAGCTGAGCGCGTCTTCGACATGTCAATCGGTGTCGCTTGTCGGGTAATGTTGCGCTACTTCGTTCGTTGTTCTTTCCTTTCCTTTTGGGGGGGGCTCCCTTGTTGACACTGTTTTGCTGGGAAATTCGTTGTTCTATTGGAAAAATTTGATGCAATGAAAGGGAGAAAGACAGTCCTGAACCATGGAAGTGCATTAAAGAAGTAGTGAGAGTGACGGGCATGGACAGATATCTGGCTTTTCCAGTAGATATGTGAAATTATAAATTATAAATCTCAGCTTGGGAAGTGGATCTTTTTGCCCTCTCATTATCTGCTAATCCTTACATCTGCTTCTGGAATGAACTCTTGCCTTAGTGCTTGGCAGTGTAAGCTTCCAAAATGACATCTTGAGCATGATGTTGCTGTTCCTTTCCATTCAGCCCGATAGATAAACCAATACTAACCAAGTGGAGATATCTAGTAGCCTGAAATGCATAAGCCCATTGACAATGACCTTAATATTAAGTACAACAATGGACTGCAAAAAGCAATGATATTGAGTTGCGATATGGATTTTCATGTATATGAAGTAGCTGTTGACAAGGCCATATGAGAAAGGCTAAGCCTCTCTGGAGAACATGTTTGACATTTAAGTTATGTTTTCTTTGTTGGTTTCTGTCAGATAAGTTACTGTGCACCCATACTGTCTACTTACAAGTTTATCATGGCCTTATATATTGAGCTTCCCTCCACCTGTTTGCTGAAGCTTTTGCTCTGGGTTTTCTAATACGGTTTTGGAGCTAAATTTCCTTTCTGATGTAGTGTCGCAGCCAAGTTCAAATTTTTCATGTTTTGTATAAAATTTCATTTTTTTGTGTGATGTCTTGTTCATCTTATACGTGTTCTCGAAGTAATTGTTTGTTCAATTTGCTAGCCAGAGGGGTGTTAAATTATCCAACCTCTCTTACTTCCTGGGTTTATCATGACTTATATCATATCTCAATTAATATATCTACAACACTTAATGAGATTAAGCATGTTTGGTAAAACTAACCAGTTTTGATATAAATGATTGAATTCAGTAAAGATTTTCACTGATTGTGACAAGTGAGAAAGTGGTTACTTAATTTTTTCGATGAAAAAATTGATGGAAATTACAATGTTACCAATTTCTTTGCTAAAACTTACCAATTATAGCCATTAGTACATAATTGGTGGGAAACAAATGACATTCAGAATTTTCAGCTTTTAAAAAAAAAAGACTTCCCATTTTCATTTTCAATGATTATATTGTGAAAACTTAAAATTAAGTGCTTAGATATTGCGGTTTACTCTTCAGCTTTATCAGCAAGGTGGTAGTCTCTCTATGTGTAATATTTTAAGCTTTTGGGTCAGACTTTTCAACAATATTGTTGCCCATTATTCTAATGAACCTGATACTAGTGGCACTTCTCCTTGCAGGGCTACTTCACCTCCTTCATTTGCTTTGGAAGTTTTTGTTCAATGTAATGGGGAGACAAGATTTAGGCGCCTTTGTCAGCCCTTTCTGTATTCTCATTCTTCATCAAATGTGCTGGAAGTTGAGGTAAATACAACTTAAAAGGCCTTTATCCTCATGTTGTAGTAGTTGCACTGGTCAGCATTCTTATACTTTTTACATTTAATTGTTTTATGGTTTTGATTTTGTGAGTTTTGGTTTAGTTGAGAGCTATATGTCAAACTTCAGCTTGAATTGTCAAAGGTAACTTTGAGAAGTTCCTTTTCGCACTACCCCATCATAAGGCGGTTGATGATCAAATGGATATGTTTTGAGGGGGTTAAAACAAGGAGTGTGTTTTACTGGTTTTTACAAGGTGTTTTTTTTTTGGGGGGGGGGGGGGGGGGGGGAGTGAAGACTATGTGAGGTTGAACTCTCTCTTGGTAAGTGGAAATTTGCAAAACAAATTAGCCATGAGGCTAATGTGTGCAAGGCAAGTATATAATAGGTGACATGTCTGTTGTTCTCTCATTATCCTCGACAAATAGGGTGGATGATGCTTATCAAGACATTGTATTTACCACATCTCAAGATCAGGGTGCGCCTAAATCACTGTTAGAAGCTTTCAACATTTCATTCACAGAAGTTAATTTGAATGCCAGCTGCTTACTCCACAAGTTTAAATTGTCAAATGATGGCGAATATGTATATCGTATACTATAACTAATACTCCTTTTCATTCCAAGGCTATATGACTTCCTAATTATTGGAATCATTGGACATGAGGGCAGTTAATGTCCTTAGCTTCCGTCCTGCTTGTGTTCTATGGCTTCTTTGATTTCCCATCTTTTGTAGAATGGATCGCAGATATTGCAAACGTTCAATCCTCATTACTTCCTTATCTCAAATTTTTACCAAAGTGTTATTTGAACTTCTGCCCTACTAAAATTATACATCATATAGGCCACCTCTATCGAACCAGTCTGAAACCCTTAGATTCCAAAGTTTCTTCCCAAAGGTCAGGTTTATCCAACTTGGGTTTCATCTACTAGCATTATGTCATGTGCGAAAAGCATACACCAAGGGACATCATCTTGAATATGTCTTGTTAGCTCATCCATAATCAAGGCAAAAACATAAGGACTTAGAGCAGAGCCTTGGTGTAACCCCATAGTAACGGTGAATTTTTTTTCCCCTTCCATTGTCCTAACAGAGGTGGTGGCTCCATCATACATATCCAGTTCCATTCAAATCCTTTGACAAGGCCTATAAATCTATTGCATACTTCTATGAATTTTCTTTTAGAAGGATTTTTTTTTTTCGTTTTTTAATCACCGTGCCTTTAAAGCAATTTGTCCCAACAATGTCCTCTCTCAAAGCCTATTACAATTCGTTTTTTTTGTTCTCGTGTGTCTTTGATACTATCTTTTACTTTGGAAGCTCAGTTATAATGTCATCTGGGGAAAACAGTCAGTAGCTATTCATATATCTAACAATCTGTTCTTTTGCAGGCTGTTGTAACTAATCATCTTGTTGTGAGAGGCAGCTATCGCAGTCTAAGCTTAGTCATATATGGGAACACAGCAGAGGATCTGGGACAGTTCAACATAGAATTTGATGATAGCTCCTTGACAAATATCACTAATTCAGCGGAGGGAGAGCTTGAGGATTTACCTATGCCTTTACGCACTACTAACTTTATGAGTAAGGAATTCACCTGCTCTCTCAATGCGTTGCCTCTACCTGTTAGTGTGTTAGACATGTCTCTTGGGGTCAAGCAGCTTCTACAATCAATATTGAGGATTCTGGAGCTACGGGCACATGGTGATGCAGTACAAAAAGCTATAAGTACTATTGTGTCAGCTGTCTCTACTTATACCACTCATGACCTATCTGGTGCTGGGATCAGTGAGAAATGTCTTAAATCAGGCAGATTAAAAAATGGTAAGAAATTGGAACTTGCTACTAACGAGGCCGCAGGGGAGCTTCTTGAGCTCTACAAAGTTCTTCAACAAGAGTCAGCGCAGTTTTCAGCCAAGCCATCTGCAGAAACCAATTTCCTTGATATGGATATTGATTCGGTTAATTTCAAGCATTTGGTTGACATGTTTGGAAAGTACTTTCATTTTGAGAGTGACTCCTTATTTGTTGGACATCCCGTGCTCTCAAAGGTGACCGCTCTAAAGAATTTAGTTTTTATTCATAGATGACTTTCTACCCTTCACTTATCATTTCGTCATCAGAAATGTTTATCCTTTGGGAAGATAGCCGAGTGGAACAATCAACCTAAAGGAGTAGTGCTAATTTGGTGCTCTTGCTTTGATCTTCTTGATTTTCAGAGAAATAATTCCATTTTGTGGTTGAGTATGGCTCTTTTATTCTGCTCTGCCAAAGAAAGTTGCTTCCACTTTGTCAATGGCGGGGGCATGGAGCAACTGGTCAAAGTTTTCTGCAATGACCTACAACATTCAACAACAGTGGTGCTCCTATTTCTGGGAGTTGCGGAGCAGGCAACACGATACTCGGTTGGCTGTGAAGGTTTCTTGGGTTGGTGGCCTCGTGAAGAAGTTACCGTTCCGTCTGGTACTAGTGAAAATTATACTCAGTTGCTGAAACTGTTATTGCAAGAACCACGCCATGATGTTGCTTCCCTGGCAACTTACATTCTTCGTCGCCTAAGATTTTATGAAGTTGCAGCGAAATATGAGGTGTGATTTTGTTTTTCTTATGGCTGTGTTTGACATTGCATGTATGATTTGCTAATGGCTTGAGTTGGCAGTGTGCAGTGCTCTCTGTGTTAAGAGGTCTTTCTACCATTGATAGGGTCACAGAAGCTTCTTTGCACGAGCTCATGAGTGCTAAGTCTCAACTCAAAAGCCTCTTGGTGAGTTGTAACTTTTAGTGTGTATTTTTGGTAGCAAGGTCGTTGGTCTCTTTTGGGGGTTGGCTAGACCTTTTTGGGTTATTAATTCTTTCCTTGAGTTCATATGGGTTTGCACTTTGTTCGCTGGGTTTACACTATTGGGAATTGCTAATGCAGAAGCTGATAAATTTGCATGGTCAAATAGAAGATCCTTATCCTGTTGCACAAGCAAGTAGATCCCTGATTCTTGGTCAAGGTGAAGGATGCCTGTCCTACAAAACGACCAGTGGCTCAATTACTTCAAACTGTTGCCTTTCCATTTGGGATATTGACCCAGATCTGCTGGGAATTCTCAAGGTATCTTGCTCTTTTTTGTTTGGCTTTCTCATCCTTTAGTAAATTAGGGAAAAGTTACGTGTGTGTTTGAGAGAGAGAGGGAGAGAAGGAGAGAAGAGAGAGGAGGGGGAGGTAGGGGGGGGGGGGGAGATCCCTCTGCTGCTATTCATTTCTCATGGAAAAAATGAATAATTTGTTTTGACAGAACTGCTACTTCCTTCAACGCTTGCAATCAGCAAGTCCTTTTTTATATACCTTCAGAGTTGAGACCATTCAATTCTATGTGACTAGAATCGGCTCCATACACAAGAACTGTTGTGTTTTTTTTTTATTTTTTCATGAGCGTGCGGTTCAGGTTGGAGCGAGTTTAGGGCATTGGATGATTTCAGGGATACACTTCCGCATGACTGCCAATTTACTTAGCCAAAAAGAGGTCTGACATAGGTTTAGCTGCAGTGCATAAGTTACTAGAGGTTGTCCCCTTTCTGAATAAATTTTAAAGAGATCCAACACTTCTGCTAAAAAATATGCATCAGCGGACTTCAAAATTTTGACTCTGTTGTGGGATGGATTGCTCCTGTATATATATTTTTTAAATTAATAAAATCTATGCACAATTCAATACTTTAAGTTAGTTCATGGATGAAATTATTTCACATATTCTGTGAGCAGGAGAGAGGAATTCTTCCTCTATCAGCTGCTTTGTTGTCATCATCAATACTGCACTTGGAAGTAGGACATGCAATGTTCTTACATGTAGAAATCGTTTCATCAATTGGTGCCATAATATTTTCACTGCTCCTCTGCCGCTCAGGTATTGTTAACAATACATTACTCAATTTCTTCCCTTATAAATCAAGGGATTCTTGGGATTTTACTTGTTTATCTCTGTGTCAGGCTTACTTTTCCTTGCACATCAACCTGAAATTTCATCTACAATAGTCCATTGCCTGAAAGGTGGCGATTCTACCAGAAAAGACGAGTGCCTTCCACTTCGTTTTGCATCCACCTTATTATCCAAAGGTTTCTTCTGTGGGTCAGAAGAAGTAGGCATGATACTTGAGATGCATTTGAGAGTGGTCGGTTTACTTTTTTTTTAGAATATTATGCTGATTCCAGCATTTTGTTTTCATGTTCTACATTTGGTGGCAATGAGTTTACAGTCTCTCTTTATAGGTTAACGCAATCGATCGTTTGCTTACATGCACTCCTCATTCTGAAGAATTCTTATGGGTCTTGTGGGAACTTTGTGCGCTTTCCAGGTGGATTTGGCTTTACCTTTTTGGTGCTCTGTAGATTGCTTTTAGTGCATTGGCAGCATTGACGAAGAATTGTTTCATGATGGCAGATCTGACTGTGGACATCAGGCTTTGTTGGTTCTTGGATTTTTTCCAGAGGTATGTCTCACTGTGCTTAAAACAGAACTGTTTTACTCAGGCATTAATGAGATGTACTTTTGCTAGTTGAGTAAAGACAATATGGTATGTAAGTTGCTAGAGTTGGACTTTCAATCTGGCAATTAGCTGTTATGCTGTTTTGACTTGTTTGGCCAGTGACCTATCATTCTTTTTCATAGGCTATTGCAGCATTGATTGAAGCATTGCGCTCAGTCAAGGAGTTGGAGCCCACTGCAAAGAGTGGTGGTAGTGATCTGCAATTATTAAGCCTCAGATATTTTAGCAAAGACTAGTGGTTTTCTGTGAATAAGGAACTAACTCGAATCATTCTATCTTTTCAGGAGCTTCACCCCTGGATGTTGCGATTTTTCATTCGGCAGCAGAGATTTTTGAAATCATTGTTACCGATTCCACAGCATCTTCTCTGGGCTCTTGGATTGAATGTGCAGTCGAACTTCATAGAGCTTTACATTCCTCATCCCCAGGGTCAAATAGAAAAGACGCTCCCACACGACTTTTGGAATGGATAGATGCTGGTGTAGTTTATCACAAAAACGGGGCTGTTGGTCTTCTCCGGTATGCTGCTGTGTTAGTATCTGGAGGAGATGCACACTTAACTTCGACTAGTATTCTAGTGTCAGATCTCATGGGTGTTGAACATGCTGTTGGAGATCCTTCTGGTGGTTCTGACATAAATGTAATGGAGAATCTTGGGAAAATAATCTCTGAGAAAACATTTGACGGAGTTGCACTTCGTGATTCTTCTGTAGCTCAGCTTACAACAGCATTTCGGATTTTAGCTTTCATTTCCGAGAACTCTGTATGTGTTTTCCATCTTGAAATGTATGTAATTTACAATAATTTTTTACTGGCTTACTTTAGACTTCTTGGTGTAGACTGTTGCTGCAACGCTATATGATGAAGGTGCCGTTACAGTTATCTACACTGTTTTAATTAACTGTAGATTTATGCTTGAGAGGTCCTCGAACAGTTACGGTGAGTTTTTCCTTGTCTTAGCGGAATGCCTTCTTTTGATGGTACTTAAATTATCACACGTTCTATTGTGGTTTTTGAATAATGAACTAATACATTATTATCTTCTTGGACATGATCTGGCTATGTTGAGTTTTTAAATTTTTAATTTTTGGTTTTGATCTCTCTTCTTTAAAGGTATTATAGACAATACCTCATGTGGAGCTTTTGTATTGGGCCATTTGATTGCTTTGCTTTTACTGGATGCTTAGTTTGTGGGACCTTTATATTGTTCTTGCTGTTTGCTTTCCTCTGCACAATCACTATTATACTCTTGGTCTTTCTATCTTCATTGGATTGACCTGTAGTTGTGACTTGTGCCTAGTGGTTTTGGATTTAAGAAGGATTATCAAGGTTATATTTAGGGGTTTAGCATGCGATAGTTTCTTCTTTGGCATTTTAATTGTTGAGCTTATATGAACTTTGCTTGAACTTTTGAATGAAGGAGCTGTACTGCTATTATTGCCATAAATATCAATCTATCTTTCTTCCTGTAATTCTTAGGTCAAGTTTGATATTTATATGTGGATGCACAACTGGTGTGATCCTTTTTATACCTTTACAAGGTGTCAGTCCTGAATTTTTCTGATTGCAACTCTTCTGAATATTTTCTCAATCTCATCAGAGAGAGATTCAAATTCCAGTGTTTGGCTTGGACGTTTTTATTGCATTTCTTCCCTTATCAGAATTCTTGCAGACTTACAGTTTCTGCTTCTCAGGGTAAAAATTCAGATTTTATTGACTGATTGCTCAGCTTTTAACTTTTTGTTCTATTAATTCTTAATAATGCACATGTCTGCGATGTGGAGTTTGTTGCATAGCCTATTTCGCTTGTTTTCATGGTGCAACACTTGGATGTATATCATTAGTTGTTTTGAGAGATCTGCCGCAAAAACCTCTTCCCCCGGAGTTTGGACTTCTGTATTTAGTGATTTTCTTCCTGCAGTCCTTTTGAACACTTTCTTTGGACAGATTACCTTGTTGATGATGGAACTGAATGCAACTCCACATCGGATTTGCTTTTGGAACGGAATCGGGAGCAGAGCCTAATTGATGTGTTGATTCCTGCCTTGGTACTGCTGATCAACCTTTTGAAGAAACTACAGGTTGGTCAAATCTGAATTACCGGTGCATTAGCTTAATGTCATTTCTGCAAAATCCTTCATGGGCATCATAAGGAAGTCTTGTATTGAATGTCTCAACTCACTGGCACCAAAATGATAAAGTAGCCTATGTCAATGTCAATGTCAAATCCAATTTATAGTCTTCTCTGGTTTTCTTTTCATCCTTCTATTATAAGGTGGGCTAGAAGGTTTCTAATTTATGATGCACGCTGCTATGATGCATCAAGATATAGGGGGAAGTTTTTGGAAAACTTCCAGGTCATTTGAAATTAAATCTATGGAAGACATTCAGCCTCAACCCCTCTTCCTGATAACCACACACACACACACACACACACACACACACACACAGAGAACCCACCTAGGGGGCAAAATTTTGGTTGGCATTGTTGTTGGTACTTCTAGTTTGGATTTTGGAGTATTTGATATTTGATTTTGATGATGTGCATAAGTTTACCCGTGTTAAATTTTATTTTGTCCTATTGTGATCTGGAAAGCTTCAAGTGTTAGTCTTTGGATGTGAATATTCAAACAAGTGAAGTTCGGGTCGTTTAGCACATCGGCATGATGAAAATGGTGCACATGCAACATGAAAGAAATCTCATTTATTAAGCACTGGAAAATTCATTATAGTTTGAGAGAAAACCAACTAAGCGGGCCCAGTTTGAATCCGTTTACATCTAGGACTATCATTTTTTTTATTTAGCAAACAAAGGAAATGTTTCATCAAATCGGTATTTCTTGACATTTTACTTCCCTTCATCCTTCCAATCTTAGCATAAGTATGTAGTCTCATCTTGTATAGAATGCAACAATATTTCTTTTTGATGGGCTAATATGCGACAATTTTTTTTAGAACTTAAACATTCTGCTTTCATACAGGAAGCAAATGAGCAGCACAGAAATACAAAACTAATGAATGCTCTTCTGAGATTGCATCGAGAATTGAGGTGACATTCAGATAAAAAATGGTTTTGTATTCTGCAACTGCCAACATGCTTATAAACTTGTTATTGTTCTTTTACAGCCCCAGACTAGCTGCATGTGCAGCAGATCTATCTGCTCCATACCCTGATTCTGCTCTTGGTTATGAAGCCGTCTGCCATCTCATTGTGTCTTCTCTTGCTTATTGGCCAGTGTTTGGATGGGCTCCCCGCCTGTTCCACTCTCTCCTTGCAAGTGTTCAAGCAACTTCAGTTCTGGCCTTGGGTCCAAAGGAGACCTGCAGTTTTATGTGTCTTCTGGTATGTAATTAAAAGTCTGACACCTGAAGTGGGCATGCTTTATGTAGTACTCTAATATTATGGACGCTTGTGGTTGGATGAATTGTGCTTTGTTCACTATATATATATATATATATATATATATATATATATATATATATATATATATATATATATTTGTATATATATATATATTTGTATATATATATATATATATATATATATATTTGTATATATATATATATTTGTATATGTATGGTATATGATTTAGATATTTTAAGCTGCATTTTCTCTGAACTTTGTTGTTTTGACTATTTTTGTCTTGAATCCATTCTGTGTGGCTAGAATGATTTGTTTCCTGAAGAAGGAATCTGGCTTTGGAAGAAAGGAATGCCTGTGTTGAGTTCCCTCAGGAAGTTGGCTATCGGTACAATATTGGGACCTCCAAAAGAGAAAGAGGTGAACTGGTATCTGAAACCTGAATTTCGTGAGAAGATTCTGAGCCAATTAACCCCGCAGCTTGACATGATTGCACAGATGATCAAACATTATGCAGTCTCTGTATGTTACTCACTTGTTATATTCATTAGATTTCCTAGTAATTGAAAAAGATTGTTATTCTTGTTATATTTGGAGCATTAAAATTGTTGTTAGAAGAATGTTCCATTAGATGTTGTAATTCATCTCATTACATTGCTCTTGACAGGCACTGGTCGTAATTCAAGACATGCTTAGAATTTTCATAATTCGAATTGCTTGCCAGAAAGTTGAAAGCGCCTCCATACTCCTCAAGCCCATCTTCAGTTGGGTCCTTGATCATATCTCTTTAATTTCTTCGTTGGATATTGATACTTACAAGGTGACCATATTCTTCCACCATTATTGCTTCTCTCGTAAAGTTGACTTAGAATGACATACTATGCCTTTTTCAGGTTTACAAATATCTCGATTTTCTTGCTTCTTTATTGGAGCATCCGCAAGCTAAGGTCCCCATCTGATCCTTTCATTCGTCTATCTTTGTCCAGAAGATGCCTGCAGAAAGGCTCATTGTATCTTTTATTTCTTCAGGCCCTATTACTCAAGGCGGGGATGATCCAGATTCTGAAAAAAGTTCTCGAATGGTGTTTGGATGCCGTTGATTCAGACAAGATTTTGGAGAGTAGAAATATGGCGGATAATGGATTTACGCTGCTTAGTTGGTGCCTTCCTGTGTTTAAGTCCTTGTCACTGTTGTGTGGTTCTGTGGCAACTTCACAATGTGCTGGGTTGCCTGATTCGTGAGTAGATTTTATCATCTGAATTAGTTATGTTTGTTATTTTTTCAAAGCTTGTAGCTAACATCATGTTTCCAATTAGGAAAAATACGGAATGCTTTAGCACTGGAGATTGTGCTTCAATTTTACCTTATCTTCTTAAGTTTTTTCAGGTAACTTCTTCTCTCGTATTAGATTATTGGTTATCCTTAATGCCATGCAAAATCTGTGTTATCTTTCTTTTCACGGTTTGTGTGAACAAATCTGTATGCAACGAGGATAATGTCATGCTGTAATAATTTTTACTTGTAGTACGTGAATCTTCTTAGTTGTTGCTAATGGAAAATCATGATGTTCTCCAGGTCCTGCCTGTTGGAAAAGAGTTGCTTGCTTGTGTTAGATCTTTCAAAGAAATCAGTTCTTGCAAAGAAGGTCGTGATTCTTTGAAGGCTGCCTTTGGTTCCTTTAGTAGTTCTGTGGTACATGAGCGAGACAAAGGACATGAAACTAACCAAATTTATAACGGTAGCGAATCTGGATGGAGCAAATGTGCTCCTTTATTGTGTTGCTGGAAGAAGATGTGGAATTCTTCTGAAGCTAGTGATGATTCATCGTCTTTCGCTGCTCAAGGCCTTGATCTATTGTCTTCAGGGTGTTTGTCATTCTGCGTGGATGGAACCAGGTTAGCTTCTTCAGAGATTGTTAGCCCCTTTAATTGGATTGATTTGCTGTACTTATATTGACCGATGTCGAGGTGCATTAGTAATTTGTGGACAAGTATGTGGAATTATTATTGAAGCATGGAGAATTAAGTGAAGTTCACGATCCTAATTACAGTCTTAGTTTGTGGTTAGTTGATTAGGAAGGGCAGAATGCAGAAGGTAGACATTCCCTGATTGATCTTTGAGCATTTATTGATGGTATTCATGGCTGTCTAGTCTGTCCTTGTAATTCTTGCATATTGAGATGAGAAATTACATGTCCTTAGACCTTACCAAAAAAAATTACATGTCCTTAGAAGTATGGTCAATACCATATGACTATAACAAGTTGTCATTTTTTTTGCTTTTCTGTTAATACCTCAATGCCCTCTACGTGAACTTTATGAGTGTGATATAAACTGTTAAGCTACTTCCGAGTCAACTTAATCAAATTATTTGCACTGCTACTGGTGCCTTTTGTACTCCTAAAGAGACACTGCTTAAGTGACACATCACTGGCTTCTGCTGCTTTTTGGAGCTATTTTCAGTTACTAATACTCGATCACTCATTTGAACTTTCAAATAATCGGTCGCTCATTCTGCCTTAGACTGTGTTGCATTTCTTGGGTAAAATAACGCTCTTCAGATAATGTAATTGTTGTTATAATCATGATATAATAGGACGAGAAAGAGGACATATGTCTTTGTTGCCATTCATCAGCAATAAGCTAACTTTTCTTTGGTTATTGATCAGATTGAACTTGAAGGGGGTTGGTCTGGTGAAATTGCTTTTTGGGCTTTCAGATGATTTGAATGAGACAGACAGTTTTATCAAGGAAAACCTGAATTATGTTAAAGGTTTAAATGCTCTGTTGAGTTCAAAGGGCGAATACAATGACCATGAAACTGGTCCTTTTCAGGTATAAGATATATAAGTTGCCTATTTTTCTGCAATTTCTCTTCATGGCATTGCTAACATATTACACTGAACAGATCCCAGACTCTGTAAAATCATTGCTTCTGTTATTGGTGAATCCTATCGGTGCCATTGATGTGGTTGATATAGTTTTTGGTGAGGCTGTCTTGTCATCCAATGATGATCTGGTTTCTACAGAGTTGCAGTCTGCTGTAGATTGCTGTCTTGAAAGAACTGATGGGTTACTTCAGCTAGGTGGACTAGGAGATAAGTTCCTTTGGGAATGTCCGGAAACTTTGCCTGATAAGACAGCTCTTCCATTAAAAAGGAAAATGTCATCTCTAGAAGGTCAAGGTAGGCGTGCCAGAGGGGAGAATCCACCTTCTGATCTTGCAGCCTCTGGTGCATTTTCACGTGGTTCAGGTCAATCTGTAGCTCCCTCTGGTCCTACACGCAGAGATACATTCCGGCTGCGCAAACCAAATACCAGCAGGCCTCCATCTATGCACGTGGATGACTATGTCGCACGGGAGAGAAATGTTGATGGTGTTAGTGATGTCATTGCAGTTCCACGTGTAGGATCAACGAGTGGAAGACCTCCTTCAATCCATGTAGATGAGTTTATGGCTAGACAAAGGGAACGGCAGAGTTCTTCTGCCACAATAGTTGGTGAGGCAGTAACACAAGTGAAAAATGCAGCTCCTGCTAACGATGGAGAGAGAGAGGTCAAAAAACCTAAGCAGTTGAAGACAGATTTAGATGATGATTTACAGGGTATTGACATAGTGTTTGATGGTGAAGAATCTGAAACGGATGACAAGATGCCTTTCCCCCAGCCAGATCATAATTTGCAACCATCTGCCCCTGTCACTGCTGAGCAAAGTTCTCCCCACTCAATTGTTGAGGAGACAGAAAGTGATGTTCATGAAAGCAGTCAATTTTCTCGTATGGGCACGCCTGTTGCGTCCAATGCTGATGAAAACACCCAAAGTGAGTTTTCTACAAGGATGTCTGTTTCACATTTGGAGAAGCCATTGACTCGAGAACCAAGTGTGACCTCAGATAAAAGGTTCTTTGACCAATCTAATGATGTGAAGGATTTGATTACAGGAAAGACCTCTGGCGTGTTTGATGCTGCAGCAGTAGCAAACAATCCTGGATTTCCTGTTTCACCTTATGCTATGGCATCAGCATCGTCATCTGGGCAATCACGTGTTGATTCTAGGGTGAGTCCTCAAACATTGTACCCAAAACACAGTCCGCATCATGCAGGAAACCTTCATGGTGCAGGAACCCAAGGATCCTATGACCAGAAATATTTGCAGAATCAACCACCACTACCTCCCATGCCACCACCATTGTTAGTTCCATCAGTAGTATCTCAGGCTTCCGATTCAGTTCCTAGTCAAGCATCCCCATTTACGAATAAGATGATCGATGGGCAGTCACCTGTTTCCAGTGCCTTTCATGTAAGCAGAGTTAATTATTGTCCTTTTGTTTTCTTCATGCTATTGAGCATAAGACATAGATCATTTCTAATGTTATTGCTCGGCTTTCCTTCTGCAGATTCAGTCAGATCACTTGTCTCCATACAGTTCTTCCCCCAGTGGATCCATTAGGCCTCTCCCACCACTTCCCCCAACACCACCTCCATTTTTATCCAGTCCCTATACTATGCCACCTATAAAAGCTTCCACTCCACAGTCTTCAGGTTATGTTCAGACAAGCATTGGAATGACAGAATTTCCCCGTGCGCCTATTATGCCTTCAACTGATCTGCAACATTCTGCAGCAGGTCCCAGACATTCATATCCCCCACCTCCCCTAATGCATCCCTTGGTGTTCAGTAGGACTGCCTCTGTCCCTGTGAATTTCTATGGGAACAACACAATGCAGCAACATGGAGAGAATCAACCTAGCATCTTGCAGAACTTTCCTCCAAGTCAATCTCCAATGCAGTCAGTACACACTGTTGCACAGTTGCAGCCACTTCAGCCCCCACAACTCCCACAGGTTCCACACCCACCTCAGCACCTCAGACCACTAGCTTTTTCTTCACAGCAGCCGGAACAAGGGTCATCGTCCTTGCAAAACCCAGTACAACAAGGTCATCAATTACAAGCACTGCAGCAGCAGTCACAAGTATCTCCTTTGCATGCTTATATCCAGTCACAGCAACAAGAACTATCTCGTGGTCATCCACGTCAAGAAGTAGAGCATGCTGGACTCCAGGTTTCTCATCAGCAAGGAGACACATCCAACCAGCATCAAGATGCAGGAATATCACTATACGATTACTTCAAGTCCCCAGAAGACATCCAGGTCGGTTTCTAGAAGCCCTTAGAAAGAGTTTTCGTGCACTGTACGCTTATGTTTATCTTCTAGTCTTTCTTAATATTTTATGACTGTGGCAGGCCTTGCTGAGTGATCGCGAAAAGCTCTGTCAGCTTTTGGAACAGCATCCAAAGTTAATGCAGATGCTTCAGGTTCATTCTGTTTGAAGTTTTAAAGTTCAAGAATCCCCACTCTTACTTTTCCCCAACCCCTTATATCTGCAAAATGAGGCCAATTAGGAAGAGGGAAGTAGGGTCGTCTTAGTGTTCATTCTCGTAGAGAAATATGACTAAGAGGAAAAATTGGCGGGTGGCCGAAGTGAGCATTTCTGAGTATAGTGCATGTATGCAGGGTATTGCATGGTTATAGTTTTGGAATCAGGAATTCTTTTCCCCAGGCTTGGGATCTGATGTTGGTGTTACTAATCCATAGTTATCAAGCATTTTTTCGTGTTTGCTCTTCACTCTAGAGCGTAATCTCATTTCTATTCTCGTCGATCATCGACTCATCATATGATTATTTGGTCCATTATTCCCCCTTTTCCAAGTTGTAGAACAGTGCTACTTGTCTTACTCTTCAGTAGAAATGTGTCAGTAGAAATGTGTCAAACTCAGGCTAGCTTTATAATCAGATGTCTTTATTTCAGTGTCAAGGTGTTCGTACCTGTCCCGATGCTTAGTTTTACTGGGGCTTAGTTGCAAGACAAGTTTTTACATCCAAAACAGAAAAAAGAAGAAAAAAGAAGAAGAAGGGTTTCCTCACTGTTCCCTCTTCTAATTAGGCAAACAGTTTTTTTTTGGGTCGAAAATTAGGCACACAGTTACTTCTGAACTGTTCTGACGTCTCTGTCCTTTCTTTGGATGGTCTAACAGGAAAGATTGGGCCAGCTATAACATCGAGATCAGATTTGTCAAGGGTGGTGGTCCTGTTGTATGCCCTCTCATTTGGATGATTTATATAATGTTCGAATCACCAAATGCGATATTCTTGAGCAACTGTAGCCTGTCCATTATTTGTTTTCGATATTTGTAACTTAAATTCACTTTGTGTATATATATGTACAATTTTGTCCTGGCCTCATTTGCCCTGTATCTTATTTTGTATAGTTTCATTTTCAAATTAGTCATGCGCTCGGCGGAGCTGTGATGCAGCTGACCATGATCTTCTCTTGAGGAGTACTCACTTGATGAAATTACAAGAACAGAGAGTTCTATTATTCTTGTACCGAAAGTCCTATTAGACAGGCTGATTCAGAGCGACCGTTTCCTGATAAAGACAATGGTTTGCTAGGTGGGATGTTGATTAATTGACATAGGCGAGGCCCAGCAAGTACTTTTCTGATTTCATCTGTTTGTTTATTTTTGTTATTTGAAACTCCTGTTAAAGAACTAATCTTACTTAATTTCACGTCATCGCTGTTCGGCATTGATCAATGATAGTATGTTCCTTATGGCAAATGGCAAAGTATTATTACATTGTACGGCAAGTCTTGCTCGTGTTGTTTAACCATGTCGTGGTACGGTATTCTTTTTAGGTCTTTTCATGGATCGCTGGGAATTTTCGTCATTCGAAAGCCTTTTACTTTTGAAATGGTTTCGCGATCCAACTTTCATTCGCATGCTTGATTTTGGACATTTTAAAATCTATCGCTTCTCCATCAGTATATGCTCGGAAATGCTATTACATAAACAGCTCTTCCTTGTTTTGAAATCCGACACCCCATTTATCAAGGAGCATATCCATGTCGATTTCATATATCATATTCTTCGTCGGTAAAGTATACACTATGTGCAATTGATTGGGGCATATCTAAAGAACTCTGTAAATGAAGTTTTTACAAAGGAAAAACTGATTTTCTTCTCACGCTGGATAAGAAGAACGAAACTCAGGACGAATGCACGGAGAGTTCTTCCATGCCCGGGCATGCAATCTCAGAATCTCTCTCGCCTTTTCCTTGGTATTGCTCGTGCCCTCAGCTTGGAGGACTAGACACAACTTCGCAGCAACGCCTACTTGCAACATCTCTTGCACGATGCTCGGCGTTGCCGAGAACTTGGCGATGGACAAGAGAATCCTGACGCCTCTCTCGCTCGCTGTCTCCGAAACCCTTAGTATTTTCTTCGACACTATGGCGATCCCCGCTCCGTGCTTCAACAACTCGGCTCTTCCCTCTGCGCATTGGCACAGCATGTCCAAAAGTATAAGAATCATTTCGCTCTGCCTTTTGTCACGTGAATCGAGAAGAAGATCGATCAAGACCGGCACAGCGCTGGCTTCCACGGCTTTGACTCGGTTCCGACCCATTGGGCAGGCTCGGATAAGCAGTTTCAATGCAGATTTCGTTGCCTTCCGCAAAACTTGATCACGCAAAACTCGAACTACTTCGACGAACAATTCCATCCTCAAACTTGAGAGTTGTATAATATCGGCAACTTCAAACATTGAATTTAGCAACATGACTGCGTATGCCCTGGACTCACACGTTCCGCTCTGCATGATTCGAGTCAACGAGCCGACAAACACTCCACCGTCGCCTATGAGATTCCTAAGGCTGGCTTCGGAGAGTTGTAGGTGATAAAGTACAGCCAGAGCCTCATCAAGCGGTCTAGTTGTGACCTCGAAACTGCAACAGTTGGACGATGTTTTATCCAGTAATGCAGAGCTCGCCGAGGTTTCATTTTTCACTAGTGTCGCCAAGAAGTCAGCGGCACCAGCAGCTTCCAGGCAGCATCGGTTAGTGGCATTCTCGGCGGCAATCGACCGCAGTCTTTTGAGACACTTGTTTCGCATGTCCGGGGACTTGGCCTCGCGGAGGAGCTTAGCAACCTGGGACTTGCTTATAGGAGGTTTCGGGGTTGGAATCCTTTCGATGCCGTGCGCAGCGTTGAGGGTGCACCACGATTGGATGAGGCGCCGGAGCGTGTGGTTGGGCGTCAAGTCGCAGCCTGAAATCGCTTGCTTGGTCACGGGGCACGTGCCGTTCTTGGCGGAGAACAGCCACTTCTCGATGCTCTCGCGGTCGTACGTTATCCCGGTGGGCACCGTGACGGGGTCCTTCATGAGCTGGAGAGAAATCGGGCATACGAAGAACGAGGGAATCTCGACTTCCTCCATCTGAATCGAAACTAGATCACGAAAGAGACGAAGAACTTTTATAACCCCGGGAAAGAGAGGAAGCGAAAGATCGAGACTTGAAAAGGGGAAAGGCCGAAGAAGAACTCAAGAAATGCTTATGATGAGCTTATGATTCTCTCCAAGAAGAAGAAGGGTTTGAACGATTCGATTTAGTTGGTTGAGTTCAGCTGGGTTTGAAGATGATTCGTGCGGGTTTTGAGGGCTTTATATATATATGAAGTTAGTTGGATGAGACTTTCAAAAGGGAGAAGGTCAAAACACGGACAAATTCCAACAGGGCTCACGCGAAACACACACACCATGAACGAGAGAAAGATAAGAGTCAAAAGGAAACGCTGAAGTAGCACGTGCTCTCTTTCCTCCTACGCCAGTCTCTGCTCCAACCTTAACCCAGCGTCATACTATTCCCACGAAACAGCACGTGCTATTTTAGCGACTCCTTTTGACTCTCTCTCTCTCTCTCTCTAAGATCACGAGGGTGTCGACTTCGTTTCAGTCCACTTCAGAAAATTGCAAGTTTCGGTGCCGACAAAGCCAGCTGGAGACATCGTCCATCTTAAATTGTAATATGCATGGTTAATACGTTGCAAGAAAACGCTTGAAAGTGCGATAAAATGATCTTCTCAAACTTCCAGGATAAACCAAGTTAGAATATTGAATGAAGAATTGAATTGTCTTGTCCTTTGGCTGTAGAAATTGGATGTATATCGATTCCGTACATTTCTTATGTTCCCGTAGAGGCTATATCAGACTTAAATCATCATTGACCCGTTTTCAAAATAAAAATAGTCGTTTTTTTAGTTTAGCCCAAGGTAACGTATGTGTAGCTCAAATTAATCTACTTGGGCAAGAGGGGTGGGTGCCGGTTTAACGTGGATACATATGTATCCTTATCATACTAAAACGGAAATATATAAATTGGTAGTGTTGAGAAGATGGGAGGAGTGCCACACAGCCGTCAACCCTGCTAGAAGTGCTAGTTTTGATTTGTTGTGCAGTGCAGTGCAGTGCCGTCATACTAATGACAAAACTAATTCCGATCAATTGGAACGTGACGTGTTATTTACCTGTCAATCATTTGAGAACTAAGTCGCGTGATTTTACCTGTCACTATTATTCTAATATATTGTTAGTTAAAAATTATCAATTTAATAAATGGGTAAAATAAACCTTGTTAAAAACTTGTCCAAATACCACATCATTCTTTTATTTTCCAGAGTGGTAAGTTTATAAGTAGAGGAAAACCACATGTATAGCTCTCGTACCACGTTAGATAGTTCAATACAGAAACTTATGACTATAGGTGAAGAGATTATATGTACATAAAAGGAATATGAACCCAATAATCAAGCGATGTATGATATTTCAATAAAAAGTAACTTTAGGTTTTTGCGACAACTAAGATTTAAACGAACTAAGAATCACGAAGAATCCATGAAAGGGCGCATGACTTGAAACATGTTTGTTCATTATTCTTTTTTTTTTCTGCACTTAGCCAAAGTTCCATCCACATGTTCAACTGTTTAATTGGACTTTGAACTTTTGAAGTTGGACGACAAACAATGGAAATCGTATTTAATGAATCCTCGGACCACTTGTACATTCTAATGACCGACGTAATTATAAATTTATAAGATCCTACAGTTGACAAAATTTAATCTACAATGACTATCACAGTCAATATTTTTTTAGGCGCTTAAGGAAATGGGAACGTCCATCTTCCCTGCAATAAAGAAGACACCTCTTTTCGATACATTCATATGTGAAGAGAAAACAAACTCAGAAGCTATTCAGACAGACGTCATAGCTGAGGTAGGATCGAGGGTTTGTGAGTGAGACTGGAGTGACAGAGAGACAGACAGCGAGTGGTGGTAGTCAAATCACGTGGTTTTAGGACCGGACAGTTTTCGTATTGAAGTAAGTCAGTGGCCACCATAAAGGACGTCAAACTTATTTAATATTCTACAAATTGAGTAATTTTCTTGATTTGTATGTTCAACGCGACACCACGAACTCCTAACGAGAGTGTAATAAACGATCCAAAATAAAAAACACGTCAATGCCGCCGTCATTGTTTAATTTTTGGGAAAAAACCACCAAAAATCCCAAATTTTGCTATTTGTGACACATTTACCCCAAACTTTTTTTTGTGACACCAAAAACCCCGAACTTTGCTTTTTGTGACACATTTACCCCAATGTATTTAGTCCATGGGCATTTTTGTCTTTTTTGCTTTTTCTTTTTTTTTTTTTTTTTTTTTTTTTCCTTTCCGTGAGGGGCCTCGCGGCGCGTCGGCGACGGCGCCCATCGCCGGATCCGGCGAGGGGGCCCTCGCCGGCGTCGAGCGAGGGCGGCCCTCGCCGGCGTCGGCGAGGTTCGCCCTCGCCTGGGCAGCGAGGGCGGCCCTCGCCCAGGCTCGAGCGAGGTCGACCCTCGCCGGCGTTGGGCGAGGTCGACCTCGCGAGTCGGCGAGGGCGCCATCGGCGAGGTCGACCCTCGCCGGCGTCGGGCGAGGGTCGCCCTTGCCGGGCGAGCGAGGGCGGCCCTCGCCCGATCCTGGCGAGGTCGACCTCGCTGGGCGAGCGAGGGTCGACCTCGCCGAGTCGGGCGAGGCCGCCCTCGCTCGCCCGGGCGGCGACCCTCGCCGGCGTCAAGCGAGGTTCGACCTCGCTCGGGCGAGCGAGGGCGGCCCTCGCCCGATCCGGGCGAGGTCGACCTCGCGGCGTCGGGCGGCCCTCGCCGGATCCGGCGAGGGCCGCCCTCGCTCGACGCCGGCGAGGGTCGACCTCGCCAGATCGGCGAGGGCCGCCCTCGCTCGCCGTGCGAGGTCGAACCTCGCTTGACGCCGGCGAGGGTCGCCCTCGCCGGGCGAGCGAGGCGGCCCTCGCCCGACTCAGCGAGATCGACCTTCGCCCGACGCGGCGAGGGTCGACCTCGCTCGAGCCGGGCGAGGGCCGCCCTCGCTCGCCCGGGCGAGGGCGAACCTCGCCCTCGCCGGATCTGGCGAGGGCCGCCCTCGCTCGACGCCGGCGAGGGCCCCCCTCGCCGGATCCGGCGATGGGCAGCCCTCGCCGGAAAGGAAAAAAAAAAAGAAAAAGCAAAAAAGACGAAAATACCCATGGACTAAATACATTGGGGTAAATGTGTCACAAAAAGTAAAGTTCGGGGTTTTTGGCGTCACAAAAAAAAGTTCGGGGTAAATGTGTCACAGATGGCAAAGTTTGGAGTTTTTTGTGGTTTTTTCCCTTAGTTTTTTGCTCCTTTTTGTTTTGTCCTTTTTTCTGTATTTGGTATTTATTTTCTTCATCTTTCTTCGACTCTACAGCCATAGAAGAGAAGGCAAAGGAAAAGTTTGTGCGTGGCGGGGGCCATACGTGACGCTTGCGCATCCGTCAACCGCGACGCTGCAGCCACAAAAGCGTTCGAGCAGAACTTCTATCTCGCCATACACAGGGTTTTGATATGTAATCACTCGTACTATCGTACGAGAAATAGATTATAAACATGATTAACCATGTCGCGGGACAACATTCTTTTTTTTTTTACGAAAGCAAACGATTGAACAAGAAAATAAATCGGACGCCGGATTTACATGATTTTGATCAATGTGATTTATGTCCAAGAGGAGAGCAGCAAAGATTCCACTATTCATCAATTGATATAATAGATATTACAATCACATTCGAGTTATTCAAACACTCTCAATATTTCCTAACCCCCAATTACACCTAATAACTCACACCGTGTATAGCTTTACAATTCCTTAGGAAATAATTTCTCAATCTCATAAATGAATTCACAAATCTTACCACAAAATTTATTGGCTTCAACAATCTATTGCTTGAGGATGTAATTTACAAGAAATAACCTATTGGATACTCTTAAGAAAGAACATCCACTTCTTATATATAAGCAAGAATTGGATTCAAAATAGGAAACCTTATTTAAGAAAACCTTCTTTTAACTAGGAAACCTACTTGATTAGGAAAGTTTCGTTTCAAGCTCAAACTCAAAATATATTTTCAACAATCTCAACCTTGTCTTGACGTTTGAGTCAAGTCACCATTTAAGGGTGATTGGTTCTAGGGCAGTCCATTCCCGCCCATGAACCGGGAATCGGACCGGTGCCCCCTAGAACCGGATAGACCAATATAGTTTGGTTCCTGGGTGGGCTAATGGAACCGGTAGCATATTCAAGTTTTGTTTTTTGCTTTGTTGTTAATGTTCAAGATGAAATTAAAAATATTATTCATAATCAAGACATTTCTACAATTAGTGAGTTACGTGTAATATTATAGGTTTTCATAGAATTTTTTCCAATTTGTGGCAAAATTTGGTTGGAATGAGCAACTATTGTTGTGTTTTGATTGTTCTTGTCATCTTACTTACGTGCATAAATAAACATAGTTGCTCCAGCCTTGAATGGCTTTCCTTTGTGAAATGGGAGATAAATTAAGGTTTCTTTTACAAATTTAAAAAAATCTCTGTCTGATCCAAGTGGTCTGGGTGGGCAGTACCACCCTTGGAACTGGGAATCGGTCGAAATCCATCGATTTCAATTTTATGGAACCAAACTAGTGCCCTTGGGAACCACCTAGACCCAGCCGGTTCAGTCCGGTCCAAGCGGTTCCCTTTGCTCACCCCTAGTCATTATTGCTTCGCTAGGAATTTGAACTTTGTTTCTACTCTCCCACAACCTCTCAATTACCACATACATCTTCCAAGTCAAAGTCTTGCTTGAACTAGGCCATAAACATGGACCTCATTGATACACCAACTCCACATGTATCTTAAACTACTCCACAAGGATTTTTTGATATAACCTCTTCTACCATAGATAAAGCAAAATCATCGCTACAACCATACCTGTTTGGAGATCGAATACGCACATTGTTAAGCTCAGTAGTTACAGCAACCATTGGCGCTATAGGCTTCACTCACTACATGCACATTTGTGTCGATTACCCCGCTAATTCCTAATACCTCAGGAGTTTCTAGTGTGAATTTAATTCTGGACACCACAACCGATATCCCCGCTCACCTTGTCCGTAGCCTAAGAACATGCACTTTCTTGCCCTTCCATCGAGCTTACATCACTCACTTGAACATAGGATGGGTAACCAAATATTCTAAAAACAAAATAATTAGCAATGTTACCTAACCACACTTCTCTAGTAATGTTCTACTCAT